CAGACTGCAGAGCAGGGGCAAGGACAGAAGCCAAGCAGCGGTGTAGGAGATAGGTTTGGGGAGGAAAGTGGGGCCAGTCTGGGGAAGTGGGAACAGTTGGAATTGCTTAGAAGGCCTTGATAATTACATGAAATAGTCAGGACAGCCTCCTGGGAGCAACAGAAACTCATAAAACACTTCTGAGCTGTGGAACACTGCTTAACAGTACTGTTTCAGGAATGTCAGTTGGATGACCCTTAGCAAATTAACTACAGTTATAGAAATGTGTGAACAATATTGAGGGTAAAAAGAGGTGAGGATGGATGCTGTCTTGAAGAGCCACTTCTAAGGTTAAAATCAGTTTTGTGCTTCTAAGATGCTTGTTCCTTGGAAGAAAAGCTATGACAAACCTAGACAGCATATTAAAAAGCAGAGATATCACTTTGCTAACAAAGGTCCATATAGTCAAAGCTATGATATTTCCAGTAGTCAGTCAGGTATGGATGTTAGAGTTGGGCCACAAAGAAGACTGAGAACTGAAGAATTGATGCTTTCAAACTGTGGTGCTGGAGAAGACGCTTGAGATTTCCTTGGACTGCAAGACCAAACCAGTCAATCCTAAAGGAAATAATACTGAATATTTACTGGAAGGACTGGGGCTGAAGTTGAAGTTACAATACTTTGGCCACCTGATGTGAAAAGCTGACTCATTGGAAAAGACCCTGACACTGGGAAAGATTGAGGGCAAGAGGAGAAGATAACAGAGGACAAGATGGTTGGATGGCATCACTGACTCAAGGGACATGAGTTTGAGCAAACTCTGGGAGATGGTGAAGGACAAGGAAGCCTGGCACGCTGTAGTCCATGGGGTCGCAGAGTTAGGCACGACTTAGCAACTGAACCACGACAACAATTTACAATAGTCAGTACATGGAAGCAACCTAGATGACCATTAATAGATTAATGGGGATAAAGATGTGGTACACATATATTAATACAATGAAATATTATTCAACCTTAAAAAGGAAGAATTAGAGTCAGTTCTAGTGAGATGGATGAACCTAGAGTCTGTTATACTAGTGAAGTAAGTCGAAAAGAGAAAAATATCATATATTAATGCATATATATGGTATCTAGAAAAATGGTATTGATGAACTTATTTATAAGGCAGCAGTAGAGACGCAGACATAGAGAATAGACTTATGGACACAACGTGATACAGAGTGTGAAATGAACTGAGAGAGAAGCATTGAAACATACACCACAATATGTAAAACAGCCAGCCAGTGGGGATTTGCTCCATGACCCAGGGAACTCAGTCTGGTGCTCTGTGACATCCTAGCAGGGTGGGATGGGGTGGGAGATGGGAGAGAGGTTCAAAAGGAGGGGATATATATAAATATATACGGCTGATTCATGTTGATGTACGGCTAAAACCAACACGACATTGTAAAGCAGTTATTCTGCAATGAAAAATAAATAAATTTTTAAAAAGTCAGTTGTGTGCTTGAAACAATAAAGGCACAAGCAACGAAGGTGATGGAAACAGAAATGAAGCTGAAAGTATATAAAGAAGGAAAAAGCAATATGTTGCTGTTCAGTTGCTAAGTTGTGTCCAACTCTTTGTGACCCCATGAACTGCGGCCCTCCAGGCACCTCTGTTCGTGGAATTTTCCAGGTAATAATACTGGAGTGGGTTACCATTTCCTTCTCCGGGAGATCTTCCCAATCCAGGGATCTCTTTTGTCTCCTGCATTGGCAGATGGATTCTTTACCACTAGTGCTACCTGGGAAGCCCACAGAAGCAATATGGCATGACCATTAAATTGTTATCAGAGATGGAAATGGCAACTCACTCCAGTATTCTCCCCTGGGAATTTCATGGACAGAGAAGCCTGGTGGGCTACAGTCCATGGGGTTGCAAAGAATTGGACATGATTTAGAGACTAAACAACAATAACTAAATGGCTATGGTGTGTGTGTTTGTGGGGGGGGGGGCAACTGAGGAATTAATGATGACTTATCTCCAAGAAGAGAGCAACTTGAGAAAAAGACAAGATAAAGTTAGGGCTTAAAATTGTACTTTAGTATGTCCTGTGATCACAGTAATCGTAAACTAGCCAGCCCTTCCTGACTAGATCCAAATGACATCAGGATCCAAAATGTTATGCACCCCCAGGTAATCAAAAGATCAGTTATGCTCTGTATATTCAATATTAGTCTTACAGAGGTAAAAAAAAAAATAAAGTATCAAATAAGTAAAAAATACATTCTAACTTTTACCTCAGCAGAACATAAATCCAAAGCACCACTCTCCCCAGCTTCCTGCCCGATAGATGGTTTACATTCCCTCGATTTTTAAAACCACTGGGAAAGTATGTTCTGAGAACCTTGTGTGTGTAAATGTGTGTGTGTGTGTGTGTAAGTGTGTGTGTGTGTGTGTGCACATGTGCTCAGTTGTGTCCAACTCTATGTGACCCCATAGACTGTACCCTACCAGGCTCCTCTGTCCATGAGGATTTTCCAGGCAAGAAGACTGGAGTGGGTTGCTGTTTCCTCCTCCAGGGGATCTTCCTGAGCCAGAAATGGAACCCATGTCTCCTTCAATGACAGGCAGATTCTTTACCACTGTACCCCCTGGGGAGACCCTTATTCATACCCAAAGAGAGAAACAGAGATGGAAAGAACAGTAAAGGACCGAAGAGGTCTGAAAGAGAGAGGATGGCTGAGCAGCGAGTCCCACTGGCACAGTATAGACGCTGAATCCCCCCACACCTCTGGAAACTTCAGCTCAACTCCCCTCTGCATTCTGAAAGCCTTTTCATTCTGTCACCCTAGCCAGGACAACAGAGAGAATATGTTTTAAATATGGATCAGGAAAGCAGACATGTCACCACTTTTCACTTCTGGATGCTTTCCCATGATTCCTGAAAGGATTTCAGGGGATACTTTCTAAGAGGCTTGAGAGAGGAACTCCGAAACCCCCATCCACTTCTAGAACTCCCAGAGCACCCAGGGGATGACATAAAGAACAAAATGACTCTTCTCTTAAGGTAGTGTGGCTTGGGAACCTGGGATTGAAAGAAAAGTTCATCCTTTTCAGGGCAGGACCTTGAATAAAGCTCTAACACTCTCTGCTGGACGCTGCTGCTGAAGGGACTGGCTAGTGCAGCACAGAAAACGTCTCACAGCCACAGGCTGGCACTTTTTCCCCCAAAGCCTCACTGCCTAACTGGCTGAGCAGTGACCTGGGAGAGGCTGGTATGCAGGGCTCAGCAGAAGGGGAGACGGAACTTAAACAACAGCTGAGTGCTTCCGGCACCTCTCTTCTGACAGTGACCAGAATGCGGTTTTGTCAATTAAAAATCTGTTAATCCTTGACTCAAATGCTGAACATTCCTCAGATTACTAAGACTTTGCAGAGGCAAGGACAATCGTTTAAAAATAGCCCACGGGAGATGATAAATGGACGCCATTCCCACTCTGCGGCTGCCCTTTGCCAGCCTGCCCTTTTTTTTTTTTTTTTTGCAGCAGTGCCTTGCTGATATTTCAGGAGAGAGAGGGAAGGGGGCATAATGAGTAGCAGGGCTAGCCGGGATTTTTGGAGATGTGCTATAGCTCATGACAAGACAGAAAATAAAAAACATAAAAAAAACCACTTTGTGTTTCAAAGATAAAGTAATTGTTCCCAGGAACATTCCATGTTACAAATGAGCAGCGATAACCTGGAAATTAGACCTTCTCTCCTTGTTTGGATAAACCCAATTTAGTTGCTGATGGGTGGAGGGACCAGAAGAGGGGATGTCCTTGAAGCAATGAATTCCTAGCTTTTTTCAGTTTCATTGTCAATTTCTCTATCAATGATGCAATCTTACAGTAACCACAAGATCTCTAGAGATCTGTAAAATATGAGATGTATCTCTCATTTAATTGTGGATGAGAGAGCAATATAAATTAACACCCAATTCCTTGCTTATAATATATGATAATGATTACAACCAGATATTAATTGCTCAAAGGAAAAGAGTCAGAAGGAACGAGGTTCAGTTTTTAAAATTTCCCACTATATCTTGCTTTAAATATGGCTTTTTTCTTCTATTTTTTGTTAATTACTAGATAATGTTAATCAATGGTGGGCAAATCAAAGAAAAAAAGGGAGAAGGAACAACATTAGATGTTACTCAAATCAGCTCCTGATTAAGTTATTAACTTAGCATACATGACTTTAAAATTATAATAACCTAGTTCCAAGTTAAATAATAATTTGACTTAATTACTCCCATTCTTAAGTCAAAGGGCATTTTAAAATATTTTGATACATAAACATTTTCTAGAAATATTCTTTACATATATTTTGTACCCTTTAACTCCCCCTACACGAGTCATTTTTGAAACAGTTTCTTTTACTGATCATAAACATATTTTCCCACTCCTTGTTCCTGATCGTTCATATCTTTGCCCTCTCCCAATGCCACCTTCTGATGTATTTGGAAAGTCAAGGTGACCCCTATTTCTAATCAGTGTTAATCAATATGATTGAAAGCCTCCTGAAATAGAGTCACTACAGATAAAGTGATTACTAAAATTTTCTCATTAGGGAAGGTGAGGCAAGGGCAGGCAGACAGAATCAAAGTGATCTGATGGGAGCACGGGACAGGGACTCATTTCAAGGGGGAAAGACAGGGTGCGGGCTGCGGGTCTGGGGACAGCTCGAGGCAGCCTTGGCCCCTCCCCTCAGCATGGTGGGGCAGCTTGCTAGCTCTCCAGCTGTCTAGGTGATCCCATAGGACCACCTTCTTTAAGCCCCGCCCACCTGGCCCATTCACAGACGGTAACTAACAGATCAACAGGCGCCTCCAGAAATAAGTACAGACAAGCAAAACCACCCATCAACCACTCTAGTGCAGTTTTAAACTCTTGGTTTCCAAACTCCCATTTTATCTGAGCATAAACTGACCTTAAAGCATCAGAAAATATCTGTACATTTTTTTTAAAAGGATATGAACATATTATCTACCTACCTTTCCGAAAACTAAAACATCGTTTGATTCTTCGGTAAGTAGTTTTAGGAAGGAAAGGAGTAGACGCCAAGGCACCCGAGGGGCGCTCCCCAGTATTTCGGTCTTCAGGCATCATACAGGCCCAAAGTTCTGAACGGGGTTCAGGCTTCCTTTAAAACCTGCCTCTGGGCAATCTCAGGACCCCACAGACTCTCCGCCTCATGTTTGTTAGGTTTGAAATGCTGTTTCCTAGAACTTGAAGATTTGATCAGCCAGGTCCTGGATGGGGGATGTTACCCCCTTTCATTTACTTCTTTTTTGGCCCCCCAAAATAATAATAATAGTTTCCTTTTCTCTTGACTAATCCCGAGAGTTCTGGAGGCTGTTTCTTTTTAAAGTTTCTGCAGATATTCCAAAATGTCACAGCAAAAAGAACCATAGCAAGCAAGATGCACCTCCCATTCAGACAGCAGGATTGCTTAATTTTATTTTTTTAATTGAGAACTGGCTTCTCAGCTGGAGTTGGGGGGAACTGAGGTTCCCCTGGAAAGGTCAGCAAGTAGGCATGAGCTGGGGGCAAGAGGAACAAAGACCACAAGTCCCCCGAGGGATATACTTCAGGACCGTCCTTGCGGGCTCCTTTCATCTGGGCAAAAGGGGAGGCTGATAATGGCACCTTCTCCAGAAGGCATTTCGATGCATGAGAGGTTCTTTTCAAAGAACTCCCTTGGTCGTTTTACAGCACCCCTCAGCCTTTGATGCTCTCGGCGGGCTTCTCCCATCTGTCTTCAAACTCCCGGAGCTCTCCAGGGCATCGCCACGTCAGAACAGCCCAGTGCCCAGTTCCAGGAAGGCTCCTCGCAGGATCCCTGTGGGAGGCAGCTGCTCGGGGAGCTTTTCCCCGCCCTCGTCCCGCTCCGGGTCCCCTTCTCTCAGCGAGGGCCGGGCGGGAGCTGGCCGGCTGCAGCCGCCGTCGGCGCGCCGCGGCTGCGGCTGCCTCCAGCGCCCGTGGCCACACGCAGCAGGTGCAGCCACAACAGGGGCAGGGGGAGGAGGGAGACGCCGCGCGGCCGTGTGAACCCCTGGTTCCTTCCTCTGACGTTGCCGCTGCCTCGGCTGGCGGCTCCATTCCTCTACATACCTTTACGGCTGGCTGCCTCGGCCGCAAACCAGCCCCACGGGGGGTCAACTTTTGGACCGTCCCCTTCTGCATTTATTCCCTCCCTACACAAGAGTTATTTATTTATTTATTTATTTTCCAGGTACTTTGCCACTGAATCTATTTGAGAGTGCTGACCTCAATGTGCCTATCATTAAAACCTATGGGTGTAAGGACTTTCCCGGCGGTACAGTGGTTAAGATACACCTTTCAACCCAGGGGGTTTGGGTCCCATCCCTGGGACCCAGGGGAACTAGGATCTTAACATGCCTGGTAGCCAAAAAACCAGAACATAAACAACAGAAGCAATATGGTAACAAAGCCAATGAAGACTTTAAAAATGATCCACATAAAAAAAAAAAATCTTAAAAAAAAAAAAGCGAAAAATATGTGTGTGTTTATATACACGGGTGTGTGAAGCAGAAAAATATTCAAAATGTAGCAACAAGGAATCTGCAAGTATAACCACAAAACAAGTTAACTCCTTTACATATATATATTTATTTCTAACTAAAATGGGTTCTTATGTGTGTTTATTCATTTATATATTTACTTCTCTGGCTGTGGTTTGAAAACTGATCCTGTTTTTATACCTTCCCCAGCTCTTGCATGTACCTGCTGCACCCCAGCCCCCCCATCTACCAACCCCCTTGGTCCTAGTCACTGAATAATTGACTCACTGGGTTAATCATTCATCCACCTGGCTGTTCCATGAGCAGATTTGGAATGCTAGTACTTTAACCCCAACTGACCCCTCACGCCTCTGGGTACCTTCTGAGCCTTTCAGCAGGAGTGTTAAAAGAGCTGTGAGGAACACTACAAAGGTACTCCCCTGAGAAGCTTCATCATCATTACTCTGACGAGCATGCCTAGATAGGAAAACTTCTGTTGGGAATCATTATTATTTCTGTCCCATGGTTCAAACATTGTTTGTGTTTTCTCTGTCACAGCAGGATGCTAGGAAAATAAGGAACTGTGACATATATAACTCAGTTCACCAAGACAGTGGAAGTGCTGGAGGTAGGCACCTTGGTGACTGAAAGCATCTCTCCTCTGAGCCTTGGTATGGAGGAAACATATGTAATCAGAAGCTTAGTTGAAACATTTTTTCTCCAGTGTTATTTCACAAGTATGGAAAGTAGAGGTGGGAGTAACACCACTTATGGGAGATCACACAGTGGTCTGTGTCAGAGGCAAGACCACCCTGCTTGCCCACATGCTAGTTATTCATCATGAGGATTACATTCAGTATTTTTATTGCCTTGACACATCTCTGACTCAAGGCTTTTCGTAAGGGGACAGAAATATACAGGAAGAACCCGTTTTAGTTAGTAGCTAAAATTAGGCTCTGCATTCAGATCTAATGAACAATTAATGGAATTCTCACTCTCCCCAGATCCTAGGCTGGGTACCTCCATATACACTGCCTCAGAAACAGTGAAAAAGGAACCCAGAGAAAAAAGACAAAAACAAACCAACCAGACAAAAACAAAACCCTAAAGTTTTCCAAAGTTAAATACATGTTTTGACATCCCAACTTTTGGATTTGACTTTTAAGCAGATACCATGTACTTCTCAGTTGGCATCATAAATAGGGAAGCAACTGTTTTGGGGGAGGGAGGTTAATCAGGTAACAGGAAGTGGAGGTATCTAGATTCAATACTGAACTAGGTTACTAGGCTCTGCTGTTAAGAGAGGAGTTCTCCTTTTTGCATTTCCACTGGTTCCCTGCCTTCATCTCAGTATTCATCGTAAGTTTGTTGTATTTCAGAGGAAGAAACACCAAAGTCCTATATTTTATGATTTTCACTTAGCTTTTAATTTCTAAACATTAGAAATTCCTCAGGTGTTGCCTATATTTTAATTAAATTAAAAGTCCAATATAAAAACCATAAAGAAGAAATATTTTACATGTATAAACAATCTGAACAAGGTAAGCTCCAATGCCTCATGAAAACCTGTAACTATTTAAAAACACAGGCTGTAAAACTGCAGTTACAGACACTGAATTATCATAATTGCTTTTCATTGGAGAATACATTTCCCTTTCCTATCTTCATCATAGAATCCAAGATCATTAATCCCAAATAAATACCTGTTGGCTTCCAATCTTCCCACTGCTCAAAGATTGTTGTTGTCATTGACTAAATGGCATCCATAAAGACTTTTGGAAGGTGACTTTTCACCCTGATTTATCATAGTCTATGTAGCACCTGTGGATACATCTTCAATGTATTTATTGCAAAGAAGGCATTTCATTGTCTATAATTGCAGTTTCCCCAGCCCAGCCCTAAGCAATCAGTAATCTACTTTCTGTCTCTACAGATTTCTCTGTACTATATTTTCACATAAATAGGACTATAGTTCAGCAGTAAAGATTTGGCCTGTAACACAGGAGAAGCAAGAGATGTAGGTTTGATCTCCAGGTTGAGAAGATCTCCTGGAGAAAGGCATGGCAACCCACTCTAGTATTCTTGCCTGGAAAATTTCATGGACAGAGGAGCCTGGTGGGATGTGGTCCATAGTGTTGCAGAGTTGGACATGACTAAGCAACTGAGCATGCATGCACACACACATACAGTTCCTTCTGACTGGCTTCTTCCACCTAGCATGTTTTCAAGGTTCAATTGTATTGTAGCAGGTATCAGTACCTCATTCCTTCTATGGTTGACTAATCCATTGTATGAACATACCACTTTCTGTTTATCCATTAGTGCATTTCCACTTTTTGGCATTTAGGAATAATGCTGAAATAAATATTGATGTACAGCTTCCCAGGTGGCACAATGGTAAAAAATCTGCCTGCCAATGCAAGAGACGCAGGAGGTTTAGGTTTGATCCCTGGGTCAGGACGATCCCCTGGAGTAGGAAATGGCAACCCCCTCTAGTATTCTTGCCTGGAAAATCCCACGAACAGAGGAGCCTAGTGGGCTACGGTCCATGGGGTCACAAAGAATTGGACACGACTGAGTGACTGAGCACACCAATATTGATGTACAATTTTCCGTGTGGACGTACATTTTCATTTCTTTTGGGTATATTCCTAAGATTTCAAATGTTGGGCCATATGGTAACTCTATGTTTAATCGTTTGAGAAACTGTCCAAGTTTTCCAAAACAGCTACATTTTACATTCCCAATAGGAATATAGGGAGGTTTCAATTTCTCCACATCCTCACCAATACTTGTTATTATTGAACTTACTGATTCCAGCAATCCTACCGTGTATGAAACAATATCTCATTGTGCTTTTGATTTTTATTTCCTTGATGACTAATAACACTGTGCATCTTTTCATGTGCTTATTTGGCTATTTGTATATTTTCCTTGCAGAAAAGTTTATTCAGATTCTTTGCCCATTTTTAAATTAATTCTAATTGAGTCAAAACTTTGATTTGTCTTTAGTTTTGAGTTGTAAAAGTTATATATATATATTCTGGATACAAGTGCAAAATCAGATTTATGATCTGGAAATACTTCCTCCCATTCTATGGGTTGTCCTTTCACTTACTTGATGGCTAATTAATTCAGATATTTTTGAAGGACTCAACTATACTCATTCTACTTATCATACTTTTAAACACTCTTGTTTTTTATGTACTGAATAATATACTATCAATAAAACAGGGACTTGTAATTGTGGGCTTCCCAGGTGGTGCTAGTGGTAAAGAACATGCTTGCCAATGCAGGAGACATAAGAGACGATCCCCTGGAGGAGGGCATGGCAATCCACTCCGGTATTCTTGCCTGGAGAATTCCATGGACAGAGGAACCTGGTGGGCTATAGTCCATACGGTCACAAAGAGTCAGACTTAGCACACGCTCCCACAGTAAAAGTAACAGATCAGACTATTGTGCAATAAAGCAGGAAGAAGCTCACTAGTCAGAAGACACAAGGTTTCTTCCTACTTATATTACTAACGATATGACACTTGAAAATCATTCTTTCTCTCTGGGTCTTAATGACCTAATCTACAAAATGTGAAGTTGAACTAATGGAGTGATTTTAAAATATTCTTAATCAGTGAAAAACTTATTTTCAAGGAAGTACTAAGTGGAACCCCAATATATAGGACAAAGGAATTCTCAGTCACATAAATTTATTATTTATTGCCAAGATTTATAATATTTCTTTAAAAATTAATCAGTAAGTATAAAGGAGCCATATTAATACAAAATATGAGATTTTTGGTGATATTTGCAACCTTCTATCAGGATCAGCATCAGTTTGGTTCTGCATTCTGTAATAACTTTAGGAAATTCTGACTTTACGATGAGTCACAAAAGATTTCTTGCAAATTGAATGAGTAAGAGCTTGGTGTGTAATCTCCTAACACTCTTCAATTAAACAAAGAGGGAAAGAGAAGATTTATTCTTCAGAGTATTTTTTCTATTCTAAGTGTTCTATGTTAAAATAGATCTCTTTAAAAATAAATTTGAATCAAGCATTTGCAAAATTTCTGAAGCATATCCCAAAGGATAAAGAATGTAAACCAACCAACTACTAGAGTTCCAGGTTCATAAATTTGAAGACTAATACTTAAGAACCAAGATCATTTGTGATACCCCTGGGATGACAGGACTTGTTGTGGCCACTGATTTGGTGAAGTAAACTGGATCTCATTCATTTTTCTTAAGAAAAGGACAGATGGAAGAGGAGGAAAGGGAGAAAGTAACACACTTGATGGAAATAATCCCTCAACAAAAGTACCGTTTTCTACAGATATTAAGAATCCTCCTGAACTCTGGAGCCCCAGAAATCTGATAATGGA